CCCATGCAAAGTCGGCGCGCCTTGTCGCCGAATCAGGCGGCATTGGCCTCATGTTTCTGGGGGTACGTTCCCCGACCCGTGGATCGGACGCCCACGCGTCGAATCCAGCGGTTCGCAATCCATCTAAGCGTGCGCCCGCAAATCTCCAACTGTGTTTCCTCCTCTTCGGCCTTCAGGGTCCGTGATCGGGCCCAGGGGCCATCAGAAACGGATCGAGAACGACAGACTACCTCCAGGGAAGGGTTCGGAGCCCCTGGGGCCGCACATTGAAAAGATCGCGTCGTCGGACTTCTGGGGAGCCAAGAGGGAGGAGGACGGGGATCATTGCAGGAGGTGGAGAAGGCTGGGGAAAGAGAGATGGATCGTGCGTGGGAAGCAAAGGGAGAATTGGGGGAGCAGGAGAACGGCGGGGAGGGAGAACGAAGAAGAGGTTGAGTAGGAGAAAAGTCGGAGGAGCAGGACAAGGAGGGAGGAGGAGGAGGAGGAGGAGGAGGAGGAGGAGGAGGAGGAGGAGGGAGTAGGATGAGAGAGTAGGAGGAGCAGTGAGAGGGAGGGAGGAGGATTAGGAACAGAAGTGGGGTAGGAGTAGGAGTAGCAGGATCGCAGGAGGAGGAGGAGATGGAGGAGGAGGAGGAGAAGGACCGCCGCAGGAGCAGAGGTCTGGGTATCGAGTGCGGAAGTGGCGAATGGTGTGGAAAGGCGCATTGTGTTTTTTGTATGTGAAGCTTTGGCAAGATCCACGCAGTTCCAGACGTCGCATGATGATATTGCACGCAAGTGTCAGCGTGCAGAAAGTGAGACGCTGAATTACTGGACTGTGAAGTCCGAGTAGGGATGGTATCAAAAGGAACTCAATATAATTCGACACGCCCCGTGCCATGTGATATCCGAACAAGAAGTGCTGATATTAAGGATTTGTAGCAGATTGAGACAATTGCGTAAGGGTGCTGCAGGATTCGGATGCAAAGGTTGACGTGTGTGTTCGGACACCTTGTGACACCGAGAGGCAAGGCGGGGAGACACGCTTCCCAGAGAAAGGAATGCTACACTCAGGCGCAAGCATCGGTTGCATTGGGCCCCCGATATCGCCCCGCCCGACGGCCCATTCCAACACCCCCCGGCGTTCACTAGAGACCACTGGCCACTCGATTCAACGCCCCCGCCGGACAGACCCATCCTGACTCTCGCCCCCTCTCGAAGAAGAAAAAACGCCATCAACATAAACTTTCGGCGCTCCGCGCGGATCTCTTGGGTCTGCGCGGGGCCCCCCGTGGCGGCGCCTCCGGCGCCGCTCCTGGCGCGCTCCGCGCGCCGGGGAGGGGGGTCCGGCGCGGATCCAGGGAATCCGCGCAGAGCGCCAAAAGTGTATGTTTGTAGTGTTTCTTGTGCTTCTGATCCTGCAGTTCTGAGTAAGAAGCGCATCTGGAGCGGAGGCGCCTTCTAGTCGAAGCGGCGTACAGTCCGTCAGGAAGCCGCTGCTTGTGCACTGAGGGTTGGATTTATCAACGTGTTTCGCTCCGCTGTCCGCTTTCCGCCTGGCCAAATTACCATGCCATCTTCGATCCATAAAAAATTGTTGAAGCTCGCGTATCCCCACCAGGCTTTGTCTGCGCTTTGTAGTTTTCGCCACCCTTGTGGCCCTTTTCCGCGTCACGCTTGCGACAGCAGGGCTTGCGCTTCTCTTTCGACTTTATCTGACGGCGCGCGGCTGACCGCGTCGCTTGCGAGCAATAGTATCTCCACCAGGCCATCCAGAAACGATGCCCAAAAGAGTCGGGGGCAGCAGTTATTTGTCGAATGAGGGGGGATGGAGGAGAAAATGGAGGAGGAGGAGGAGGAGGAGATCGAAGGAGAAGGAATAGCCAGATGAGAAGCAGGACGAGGAGGGCGAGCAGAAGACCAGAAGCCTCGTGGTTGGATGCCCGGGGGCTTCCTTGGAGGCCTCTTAGGCTATCTTGGATGCCTCCTGGCGGTCTCGGGGCCCCTTGGGTCGTCTTGGGTGCCGTTGAGGGGTGCCTCTTGAGGCCTCTTGGGGCCAGTTAGGCACCTCTTGGTGGCCTCTTAGGGCTCTCTTGGGAGCCCTGGATGCCCTCTTGAGGCCATCTTCTAAGGCATCGATCAAAGAAGGGGGGGTCCTTAATTACTGGCGCCCCTCCAGAGCCTCAAAAATCCATCTTGGAGCGGTCTTTGAACGCTCATGGGCGATCCTGGGGCCGTCTTGGGGCCCTCTTGGGCCTCTCTTGGTGACCTCTTGGGCCATCTTGGAGCCATCTTGAGGCTTGGCCATCGGAAGCGAAAAGGCGAGAAAGCAACAAATATCGATGTTCCTCAGGTTTCGAAAGGATTTGGGCCTCTTGAGGGCTATCCTGGGGATGCTCCGAGGCCACTTGGAGCCGTCTTGAGGCGGTCTTGGAGCCTCCCAGAGCATCTTGGTAGCTATCTTGAGCCGTCTTGGAGGCCATCTTGGACTCTCAGGCCCTAGGCTATCTTGGACGTTCCAATCGGTCGCGGGGCGCCCCGTCCAGGTTCAGGGGGAGGGGGGAGGGGGAGGGGTCAAGACGCCCTCCCCGCCCGCAAGCCATCTCCCTCACTCCCACCCGCCCTCCCAAATAAAGTTGTAGCACCCGAGCCGCAGCGTGGTCAGCGGTAGTCTTTGGATGGACAGCTAATGAGAACCAAAACAGACCCCATGTGTGCAACGCTGGGGCGAGGTTCGCCAGGCGTGCCAGGCACGACACGCGCGCCAGGTGCGCCAGGCACTCCAGCGGCCCAAACATACCGGGCACGCCCTGGTGCGCCAGATGCCTTACTTGCTCCACGTGCGCCTTGTGTGCCGCATGCTCCAGCCTCGCCAGGTGCGCCACGTTCTGGGCACGCGCAGAGTGTGACAGGGGCGCCTGCGCACGTGGCAGTACACATCGGGAAACGTGTCGGCCCCCACCACCCTTGTGGAAAACCAGTGCGCAATCGCGGCGGGGTGGCCATCATAGCTTCTGGTGGGTCTGCGCATAGCAGTCAATATGCCAGCACCCCCGCCGTCCCAGTCAAAAAGCGATGCACAGTGATCGCGGGCTGCTCGCGCATGATCCAGATTTTGTCCTTGAAGGAAGGGAACATTAGTAAACCCCTCCCCGACGGGGAGGAAGGGAAGATAGAAGAGAAAACACCCTAAACCACTCACGCCAAGAGGGCTGGTGGGATTACCCTTGCGAAAAACCCAACTAAATGCAGTTGTGAGTGACGCAGTTGTGACAGTCGTCTTCGGTGGTGCTTCCTATGGGGCCACGAAACGTGTGAAGCGTGTGCCAAAATGGGGCGGGGGGGAAGCATGTGGACCCTGCCACTGGGGCCTCCGGTGAAGCTCCCTATGGGGCTACGGTGTGCCGAGGGTGGACGCATGAAGACCTTGCCACTGGGGCTCTAGGTGGAGCCCCCCTATGAGGCCACGAAACGTGTAAGGGGTTTGCCGGAATGGGTCGGGCGGACGCATGTGGACCCTGCCACCGGGGGCGTTCGGTGGGGCTCCCCAAGGGGCCACGAAACGTGGCAGGGGCATGCCGAAATGGGACAGGCGGACGCATGTGGACCCTGTCCCTGGGGTCTTCGGTAGGACTTCCCATGGGGCCACGAAACGTGTGAGGGGTGTGCCGAAATGGGCCAGGAGGGACGCATGTGGACCCTCCGGGGCCCTTCGGTTGAGCTCCCTCTGGGGCCACGAAACGTGTGAGGGGTTTGCCGAAATCGGTCGTGCGGACGCATGTGGACCCTCCCACTGGGGCCTTCGGTGGATTTCCTTTTGGGGCCAGGGAACGTATGAGGGGTGTGCCGAAAGGGGTCATGCGGATGCATGTGAGCATTCCCATTGGGGCCTTCGGTGGAGCTCCCTGTGGGATCACGAAACGTCTGAGGGGCGTGCCGAAATGGATCGCGCGGACGCATGTGGACCCTGCCATCGGGGGCTTCGGTGGAGCTTCCGATGGGGCCACGAAACGTGTGAGGGGTGTGTCGAAATGGGTCGGGCAGACGCATGTGGACCCTGCCATTGGGGCCCTTAAGTGGAGCTTTTTCTTGTGGCACGAAACGTGTGAGAGGTGTGCCGAAATGGGTCGCGTGGACGCATGTGGACCTTCCCATTGAGGCCCTTCGGTGGAGCTCCCCGCGGGGCCACGAAACGTGTGTGGGGGGGGTGTCGAAATGGGTCGTGCGGACGCCTTCGGACCCTGCCCTTGGGGCCTTCAGCACGGAGAGTAGAAGTCAGGAGGAAGAAGAGGAGGGGGAGGGGAGGGGGAGGAGGACACGAGAGGAGACGCCGGGATTCTCTCAAAACAAAGACCCAACACCACAGGATGGTTTGTAAAATCCATGCATCTGGAGCGGAGGCACTCTCTAGCGCAGTGTCCGATTCGATCCGATATCGGTTCTGGCCTGGTCGATCTGAGTCGATTTCGATATTGTGGCGTTCCGATGCGGCCCGATGTTTGCATGGCCTTGTTGTGCATCCTGGCGCGGCCCATCCGATTCGGTTTCGGCTCCGTGCCGATGCAGCTCGCTCCGATGCACATTGCGGTCCGATCCTGTCTCCCAAGTCGATGCTGACTGATCTTGCCGGTGTCAGTGGCGTGCGGTCCGTCAAAAGGCCGACGCCCGTCCACCAAGGGCTTACACCTGCCATGGTGCTCTGCCCCGCTGCTCGCGCCCAGATGCATCGGATCGGCGGCTCAAAGATGGGGCGCCGAGGGGAGGGGCCTCATCCGGGTCAACGTTCGAGACGGCGGTTCGAAGTTCGAGGTTCTCAGACGCTTTCGTTGGTTCTCGCCAGCTCTCCAGCCTCGGCGTGCTCCCTGCCGGCGGCGAGCGGAGGGGGGGAAGCGAGACGGAGAAGGCCTTCTCAGAAGGCGGCGGGGCTTCTCGGGGAAGGCTTTCCGTGTCCTCGGGGAAGGCTTA